ACAGGATAGGAGCCTTGGAGATCTGTACTGCGTTGCCCAGAGCCTGCGGGATTGCTCCGGGAGGATGTGCTGTACGGGCTGGGTTCAGTCCAGCAGATGTCACCGTCACTGGGGCGGACATCACTCAGACCCATCCAGTCCCACTTCCCTGAGACCACACTCACGGGTCAGTCTCCAGCTGATGCTGAGATACCACAGACCAGCGGTCAGGAAAGTAGGCACGAGTGTTCTGGCCCCAGGAAGGTGTACCTCTCTTTGGAAATTGGTAGGTTGGCAGAGGGCCTGGAACATGGTAGGATCTTAGCAAGCACCCACCAAATGGAAGCATGCATGAATTCTGATGTAAAGAAAACCTAGCTTTTCTGTGAGTTTGGTAAGTATGGTGAACTCAAAGGGAACATGTCAGGATATATTTTTTTTTTTTTTTAGGATGGCTTTAAAAAAAAAAGGGCACAAGCTTTAGAGTCAGATAGACCTGGTTTAAACCCCAGCACTGCCAGTTTCTCACCGTATATAGCCTTAGGCAAGTCACTTAACATGTCTGGTCTTAGTTTCCTCATCTCTGAAATAGGAATAATATCCACCCATCATCAAATTTGGTGAGAATTAGCACTAACAGTAATAGATAATACATATTAAGTGCTTGCCATGAGCCAGACACTGTCCTAAACACTTTACATATATTCATTCATTTAATCCCCCCCCCCGCAAATGCCTTGATGTAGATACCTTATTATCCCCATTTTGGGGGGTAGAGAGAGACCAGCCTTGGCTCAAGCAAGTCACCTAAGAATGGTCTGAGACCCCACTGACTCAGCCTCTCACTGGGCCAGCCTCATGCAGCCAGGTCCCCAGACACGCTCCGCTGACTTCCTGCGCGCACAGACTTCGGGCCAAAGCCCTGGCTGGGCCACTGGCTTCAGGAAGGCCCAGTCACCCATGATGCCCAAATGCTCACTTCCACCCAGGGTGGGCTCTGGGCTCTGGCTGCCCTGGCCTGGGCAGGGTGCCCAGAACAGACAGCCCTGGCTGGATGGCTTTCTCTGGCCCCGGCCATGGGGACAGGAGGCGGCAGCAGCCCAGCTGGGCCCTGGCCGTAATGAGGCCTCATTAGTGGGATCCAGCTGCTCCAGCCCCACTTTGGGAGGCCGACTCCCCCAGCCCCCGCCTCTGACTTTCTTAATAAGAGTGGGCATGTCTCCAGAGGGGCAAGGAATCTAGTTGCTCTGTTGTGCCCTGTGCCTCCAGGGGGAAGGTCCTGCCCAGCTAGGACTGAGCAGAGGGGGGCTGCAGGGGAGCTGTGTGAGGGGAGGGGAGGACACAGGACTGAGCAGGTGTGCTCCAGGGAAGGTGGGGAGGGGAAGCAGACCAAGGGGAAGGGAGGCAGGATCTTAGGTCCAGAGAGACCTGAGGAACACTGGGTCTCGATATTGTCCATTTCACATGTGGAGGGTGTAGTTACACATCTCCGGTCACCTGGTTGATCATCTAGGTCATAGCTCAGGCTGTCCCGGCTAAGAGAGCCCCCCTCCGTGCTAGGCCTTATATAAGGAGAGTGCCCACTATGTGCCAGTCCCTGAGCCGGGAGAGTACCTACTGTGTGTCAGTCCCTGTGCCTAGAAAGCACACACTGTACCACCAGGACCTGTGTTTGGAAGGCACTCACTGTGTGCGGGGACCTGAGTTAGCAGAGCCCCCACTACGCACAGAGTCAGATGCTAGAAGAATACACAGTGTGCCAGGCCTGTATGAAGAGAGGACCCACTTTATATCCACCCAATGCCAGTGAGCCCCTGCGGTGGGCGAGGTCCTGCACTAGAGGAGAAGCCCATGTAGGCCAAATTCTGTGCCAGACGAGCACCCAATGGATGTCCAGCCAGGAGCTGGGGGAGCGCCCACTGTGCACCTGGCACTATGACAGATGGGTGCCCACTGTGTGCCAAGTATGTCCTAGGTGAGCACCTCCCATATGCCAGGGCTTGTGCCAGGTGAGGGCCTAGTCGTCGACAGGCTCTTCACCTAGGAGGTGCCTAAGTGGGCCAAACCCTGTGCTTGGTAAACTCCTAGCGAGTGCCAAGCCCGTATTAGCTGAGCACTTGCCACATGCCAGGATGTGGGCTGGGTGAGCACCCACTGTGTGCCAGGCCCTGCGATGGATGGTGCAGATAAGAAGTATACAAACCCTTCTATCAAAGCAGAACAGAACAGGTCAGCGGGGGGGGGGGGGCAGCCCCTAATGGCCTGTGGTGCTTGCAAAGCCTTCTGGGATGATTTAGATGCTCTGGCACTCACGGCCCTAGCCCAGGTGACTCTGCTCTTATTCATCACAAGGTTTCCCAATGGCAGGAGCAACCACTGTGCTCAAAGACATGGGGAGAGACCAACAAGGCTCACCAAGGCCTCTGTTGCCCAAGACTCTGTGCCAGTGGGGAGCAGGCATGGAGAGGGGCCCGAATCAGCCAGCTTGTGACCTTGGTGTGAGGCCGTGTGGTTACAGCTGACCCAGCGGGGCTCTCCTGTCCTGGGTTCCTCTCCCCCAGCTCCCTGTCCTCTGAGCCTCAGGCAGCCCCACCCCACGCATGTACAGAGGCACTAGGTCTCCATGGAAGTATCACCCCACCCACCCCCCGGTGCCCCCAAGCATCCCAGCTGCTCCCAGGCTTGGAGGCACCCTAGCCAGCTGGGTTCTCGCAGGGCCCTGTCCTAGGAGCTGCTGAGGCGTGAGGGAGGCAGCTGAGCTGGCCCGGCAGAGACCATCTGGGCTGGGGGTGGGGGGAGGGACACGTGCACCAGGCATGTGGGCCTGGGCACGTGCTGGAGAGGGGCCTGCTGCTCGGTGGGGCACCTGCCCCATGAAGAGTTGGATGACACAGGGTGTCTGCTGATGCTGAGGACAGTGGGGGGGACCCATGTCTTCACACCCAAGCCGGAGGCAAAGGGGATGGAAGTAAGGACCCCACGGCAGGGGCTAGCTACCCCCTCCCCACATACGGGGGCACAAATGGCAGAAGCCACAGGCCTGGGACTGTCCAAGCAGCTTACATGCGTGGCCCCCGGTAGCCTCTCTTCTACCCCTACCACGGCATAGAGAGGAGGGCATGTCTGGAAGGAGTGTCCTCTGCTCTTTGCCTTTAGGGGAGCGCAAGCACCTAATAAAGTGTTGGCTCAGCTGCCTACGCCTGCCAGCCAGGAGGGATGGTGCTCCTCGGAGCCTGTGTCCTAGAGACAAGCCCTGAATGGAGATGGCTTCCAGTCTCCCAACTGGGGTCCGAGAAGAGAGTAGCCCAAGGTCACCAGCAGAACTGAGAAAGAGGCAGGAATAGAATCTCTATCAACTGCTGTGGTGGTGGCGGCGGGCGGGGGGGTTGGTAGAGCCCAGGGGACAGATGTTATGGGCCTCAAACCAGCAGTGGCCGGCAGAAGCCAAAGGGCAGAGGGCATCCGAGCCCCGGCTATCTTTAGGCACATCCTGGGGCTGGGAACGGGCGTCCCAAGGCAGCACTCCCTTCCACAGACAGGCTGGCCAGGCAGAGCCCAGAGTCCGGGAAGCTCAGCTCCTGGCAGGGATTATGGGACGTTGTGACTGATGCTCCCTCTGTGGCACACAAGTCTCCCACATTTCAACCGCTTGCCTGCACCAGTCCTTTCAGGGTCACTCCTGAGAAAGAAGAGCAGCCAGGGAATACCCAGAGGGTTTCTTAGGTTTCATAGGGCTCAGAATCTCCATGTAGCATGGGGCAGAGCCACACCCCACTTCCTACGGACGATAGGCCTGTGGCAATTCCCAGACTTCTCTGGGAAAGGGAGGCCGTTTTTGGCCCTATCACAGCATCACCTCCAGCAAGCGTTCAGGTCACGAGACTTCATCTCTGCCCATTTATGATCACCCCAAGTTCAGGTTGGCTCAGGAATACTTTCAGAAACTTGGTTCATTCAGACCGGTTCCAACCAGGAGAAGCCCGGCCAGAGCAGGCCTGAGGGGCTGAATGTTAGACGTTCAGAATGGAGCAGGATAGAGGGTCCTTACCCTGGAGCGAAACCACCCATCCACCTCTCCTAAACCATTCCTCCGGACCAAGTACTCCGAGCCCCAGAAATCTTTGGTGAGAGACAGGGCCTATTTAGGGGGTGGGGGAGCTCCGCAGAGACCCTAGGCCAATCAATCCTTCACAGAATGAGAAAAACAATGGAAGGAACTGATGTGGGTGAGAGAGGCTAAGGGCAGGGCTGTGCTCAGTCACCAGCTTCTTCCCCCGACAGCTGCCCGTCTAGCTTGTCCCCGAGGCAAGATCCCCAAGAGAAGAAATACAACCACTGCTCTTGGGATCGGATCTGACATCTTTTTCCCCGGTTCCTACTTCCAGTGCCAACCTGCTCTGTCCATCAGCGAGTCTTCCTCCTTCAAGCCCTGACCAGGCCCGGCTCTTGTCCGCTGCCTCTCCTGGGGCCTCCCTAGCACCACTCCTGTGCTCTGGGGTAGCGGGCAAAGGAAGGGCCATGCCTTGGGGCAGGGGGAGAGGGGAGTTTTCTGAGGCCTCAGAAGAACATTCAAAATGAAACGTTCTTTGTTACTTTTCAGAGTGAGAGGGAACCAGGGAAGGAGAGAAAAACCAGACAGGGTCTGAAGACCTCTGGATTAGCACATCGGAATGCTCCCTGCAGTGGGCAGAGCATGGGGTAGGGGTGGGGTCCTAGGGTGCCAACTGTGTAACTGTCCTGGGTGTCCTGTCCTGCTGGCCAGAGCACCTCTTGTGATGAGGATGCGGAGTGTGCTCCTGCCCCCCCGATGTGCCATCGTGGGCTCTGTGGCAGAATCGGCCCTGTTATGGGCTCCGAGCCGCAACACCATCGAGCCTGTCAGGTAAGGGGCCGCCTGCTTGGGGCCTGGGACAGCCCTACTAGTCAGGAGCCCTAGCATGGCAAGCAGCTGGCAGAAGGCCTCAGAGGCGGCGGTGCTCATGATACCCCCTTCCTCCCTGCAGTCTGGTTCCTGTACTCACCAGCATCCCTTTGGCACCTTTTCCTACCATGGCAGCAGCAAGTTGGGGAGCGGCCCTGGAGTCCTGGACCACACTCACAGGCTCTGCTTCCAGCACCTTTCAGACCACAGACCTCAAGAGCTGTGGAGAGAGCAGAGAGCTGGGTGGGAACCTGGCCCGGGAAGGTGAGGGCGGGCCAGGTGTGGCTGTCAGGGTTCTCCAGGACAGGTAGTGCTGGGCCCGGACCACCAGCTGGCAGGCCCTCACTCCCCTCCCAGGCTGGCCCACCCTCTGCCAGGCCCTCTCCCATCTGGTCCTTTTTGGATGACCCTCGATCAGCTCCTTCCTAGCCCTTCTTCCAACCCTTCCTCTGGATCCCTTGGTCTCCAGGGATCCCGTCCCAAGGGGCAAAGGTCCATTTTTGACTCTCTAGATGCCCAATTCTATAAAAGATTAAAAAATGAACACGGGACTGGGACAGGGTCCAATTCCTTCATCGTCTGTGTGGATAGCTTCAACCTTTCTCCTGAAGGGGAGTCAGCTTGGATCAGCACGTGCTCCCCAAGCTCACCCCAGCCGGGCAGTCAAGACCGTCCTTCCTCATCCTGGTGCCACTCAGCTTAGGCTCCAGGACAGCCGGGCATGCTGTTATGTCACTGCCCTGGACCATACGTTCTGTGAGCACCAAACACGCCGTGCACGGGACCGCTTCCCTGCCCTGGCTCAGGCCTTCCCCTGCCTGCAACATCTTCCCTCCTGCTAACCGGGTAAAATTCTGCAAATCCTTTAGGACCATGCTGAAATGTCACCTCTTCTCTGTAGCCTTTCCTGGCACTCTCCCCAACCAGAGTGAACAAACTGCTTCCTCCTTTCATTTTTTTTTTTTAGCAGGTTTCTACTGGTGTCCTTATCAACTCATACTAGACTTATTTGCTTCTGTCCATCAACCATGAGTCTGTGCGTTCCCTGCGGGTTGGGTCCGTGTTTCATTTACCCTTGGTGTCTGCCCCTAGCCCAGGGCACACTAGCAGGATGTCTTGCTTGAATGGGATCGAAGGGCAATGGGTAAGACTGAGGTATTGGAATGATGGTCCAGGCCAGCCAGAGACCTTGTAGGAAGCATCTGAGACACAATGTGAGCATGATGAGCCGGAGGAGGCAGCAGACAAACAGAAGGAGTGGCCACACGGCCATGCTGGTGTATACAGGTTTAATGTCAGACACGGATGTAATAGGGGGTTGTTTTTGACGGGCCTCAGGAGAGGAGTCAATCTTCAGACGAGATCGGGCACGTTCAGGGTGGTATGGCCGTAGAGGATTCAACCGTCAGGGAGGAATTCTCTCATGGGAGGAAAACCCTGGGTTAGGTGGACAAGAATGTTCAACCTCCATAGGGCCTGGTCCCAGGAAGGACTGGATTCATCTTCTGGGGCCTCCTCTACCCTCCCAGGGAGCAGACTCTACTCCAAAGGCTGTTCTGTGGCACTCTGTCCCACCCACAGCCACCTGTCAAGGGCCGCCTCTCTCCTGCAGGTCCAGGAAGGTTTCAGAAGGCCAGAAGGGACAAGGAGGAAGCTCCTTGCCTGTGAAAATCAGCACTTGGCTTCCTTAGGACTTGGCCCCGGCCACTTGATGTCGCACAGCCTTTTCCCCAAGGCGGGGGTGGGCACGGATGTGACCTGTAACCATTTCCCTTCTGTCAGTCACCCAGGCTGGTCTCTCTGCCTCTCAAAGGGTCCTCCGAAAGAGACCCCGGTGCATGGCTTTGGTTTTCTGGGAGCCGTCAGGAGAAGAAGGGGTTTGTGCTCCGTTGTCCTCTTCATTCACTGCCCCCCTCCTTAAGCTGTAAACTCTAGATCTGACTGTCCCAAAGCTGTCCCTCTTCGGCCAACAAATAGTAATAATAGCAGGGGGCATTATTAAGAGCCACCTCTTGGGCTGGCAATTATTATGCCCCCTGGTTAGGTAAGTAAACTGAGGGCATTCTGTCCAGAACTTAGGCTCCTGAGCACTGACTGCAAACACAGTCCTTGTGCTCAGAGTGTTTACAGATTGGTGGCCAAAAGGCTGCGTGGTGGTGGCCTCCAGGAGAATGAATGAGTTGGGCAGAAAGTTTTGCTGCTTCTCCTGCTTCTGCCATTTCTGTTAGATGGCCCCATCCATCCATTCAAAAAGTACCACATATGGTACTATCACCAGTGGCAAGTAGTCAATTTAGCATGTGATGCAGAGCTTGGGCTCTGGGACCTGGTAGGCCTGGGCTGGAAATCGGGTTCTGCCACCCACTATGTATGTGACTTCGAGCAAGTTACTTAACTTCTCCAAGCCCCAGTTTTCTCAATCTGGAAGATGGGGCTAGTAATACTTCCTTTGTAAGTTCTGAAGTTTCTGCTTACTTTTGGACTCTATTGCCAGTCCTCCCCTCCAATCCACTAATCTTCCCAAAGCCCTAAAGCCCCGATTCCCCCTCATCGTTCTCCACAGCCAATGGGATATAGCCTAGATTGTTTAGCAGGCATTTAAGGCTGGCCACAATTAAATTCATTTATTCCACAAATATTTATTTCAGGCTTGCTCTGGGCCAGACCTGTGTTGGGCAGTAAGAACTCATCGGTCTCTGCCCCCCTGCATCTTGCAGGCTAGGGGGAAAGAGGGAAACTCGTGACTCAAACACAGACAATCAAAGACTGAAGGAGAAAGATCCTTCTATGAGAGTCGAGAGCAGGGGGACCTGGCCTTGTCTGAGAGTCACAGGGGGCTTTCCTGAGGAAGCAATGCTATAGGGTCAGAGGGACTTATTTAGGCAAAGTCGCAAGAGTGAGGAAGAGAACAGGAAGAGAGATTCAAGCAAATGAAATATGTGCAAAGACCCTGAGGCTGGGCTCAGATCGCCACGGAGAAAGTGGCCAAAGATGAAGGTGGACAGATAAGCAGGGTCAGGGCCTTTGGGGCCTGGATTTTAGTTTCTATCCTGAGGGCAATGGTCTCAATCAAAGGCTTTAAGGCAGAGTTGCACCTGGCAGGAGCAACTGGTGGAATGTGCATTTTGAAAACTCACCCTAGACACAGTGTGGAGAAAGGACTGGAGGGAGGGGTTAGTGGAAGAGAAGTCAGGCAGGAGGAGGCCAGGCCAGGGATGAGGGGGTGTGGACCAGGACAGTGGTCATAGGGTGGGGAGAGGTGCACAGATCTGAGAAAAATATAGAAGGTGACTGGTAGGACTTGGTGATGAATTGCACAAGAGGTGAGGGACAAGTGGGGATCTCTGGTTTCTGCAGGTGCAACAGGAAGAAGCCAGTGCCAGGCCCAGGGACAGGAGTGCCAGGTGCTGCAGGTTTGGAGTGGGGAGAGGGAGAGCTGGGTGTGAGCTGCCTGGGAGCCACTCAAGGGTGGATAGTGAGAGGGCAGTCATAGGACCCAGCTACTTTACCAGCTCATTGCTCTGTCCTTCCCTCTCCCCAAACGGGGCTGACTGTCAATCAATTGTAAAGGTCCATCAGAGCCAAGCCCTGGAATCCTCTCTGGGAATGGAAAGGTGACAAGCTCTTTCCCTGCCTTCAAGGACCTCACAGTTTAGGAGAGAGAGGAGGCAGCATAAACTCTATTTGCTGTGATGAGGGAACGGAGGGGCTGTGGGAGCAGGGGAGGGCTTCTAGTTTTGCCTGGTGCCCAGGTCAGCTACCTGCAGCCACCTGTGACCATGTGGGACTATTCAGCATTCCCAGAGGTTCTTGCCTCCATGTTTGTGCAGGTGTTTCCCTTGTCCCCATTACCATTGGTATACATCCTACCCAGCTTCAAAACCTGCCCCAACGGCATTCTCTTCAAGAAGCCTTCCTTCCTCCTCCAGTTGCAGTCACCTTTTCACTGAACCCCCAAAGCACGCTGTGTACATCTGATTAACACACTCGTCACATGTAGTGTTGCGGCATGGTTACTTGTGTCTGGCTCCCCACGAACTGGAGAGATCTTCCAGGGCAAACGTGTGATTCTTCTGTGTCCCCAGGGCTGGGCACAGAGCGGGGCACCGCCGCAGTCGCAGTGTAGGCCGAGTAAGGGGGCGTTTTCTCTGCGGTCCTTGGAAATACTTGGGCATGCTCAGTGTCGCCCATTAGTCCCTTCCTAGAACCAGTTCCCTCACCCACTATTCTCCAACCTTCCGATCCTCCCTCACTTTGGACTTCTCAGGTCCTTCTTCATTTTCCATTCCTCGACCCCGCCTTTACCCCAGCCTTTATCTTCTAGTAACCGCAGCATCAAGCTTGTCTCAGCAAAGAAATAGACCCAGGCTTTGTGCTGGAGCTGTCAGCGAGCCGGGGACTCGGCTCCTTTAAGAGTGACCAGCGAGGGGGCGTGGTCTGCGGAGAGCAGGCCCGAAAGGGGGCGCGGCTCCTTTAAGAAGCAGCCGGCAGACTGCGAGGAGGCCCCGGGCAGCCAGGCAGGGGCGCGGTCGCTTTTGGAGCTGCGGCACCGCCCGTAGCACCCCGATTCCTCGAAGCGGGGTGCGTCCGCTTTAATCGGGGTGCGAGGTGTCGGGGGGCGGTGTTACATCAGCCGCCACGTGTGGGCCTCTCAGCTGGTGTGGAGGCGGCGGCTCCGCCCCCGGCCCCAGCGGTGGAAAAGTACCGGGGCGCCGAGGTCCCCGCCCCCTTGCCCCGCCCCCAGGCCGGCTCCGGCCCCTCCCGGCCCTCCTGGCTAGCCCCCCTCCCGTCCCGCCCCTCCCCGCCGCCCTCTACCTCCCCGCGGTGGCTGCGGGGTGCGGGGCGCCGGCTGGGGGTGGGCGCCCCCGACTGCCAGGCCCCTGCCCTCACCTGTGGCCGCCCGGGCCCGCCCCACACGCACTCGGAATGAAGGTTAGGGTAGGGAGGGCGCGGATTTTCCCTGGAGTAGCCGCCCCAAAATAACTCCACGGCCGTAGTCCCTTCCCAAAGCCGTGGCCGGGAGCCGCGGACAAAGATCCCGAGGGCGTCGGGACCCCCTGGCGCGGCTTCCCGGGACCCGCGGGCGCGCGGGAACCCAAACCCGGCCGGTGGGTGGGCGGGCAGATAGGGAGGCAGGCCGGCTGGAGCGGCCAGATAGGCAGCCAGGCCTGCCAGCGGTGCGAAGAGATGGAGCGGGAGCCCGCACGCGGGGCGCAGAGCCGGCCCGCCGGTTCCCGGCCGCCGCAGGCCCCCGGCGCGCAGACCCACTGGCGCCCCAGACGGACCGTGACACGCTCTGGTTCCGGCGCTACCCGCACAGCTCCGCGCCCGCCGCCCCCGACCGAGCCGGCTTCGGCACGCAGCGACCCCTCTTCGGGAGCGCGCCCCCCCTCTGTTCTCGCCCGCTTTAGCTCCTTGGTGACAGCGGTAACACCCAGACGCGCGCACCTACCCCCGATCTTTGCGGCGAGACAGACATCCTCGTGCGTGCACCCACACACTTACCCACAGATGCCCGCATGCAAGCGCGATCATACACACACACACACACACACACACACACTCACTCACTCACTCACTCACGCCCGCTGGTCCTGGGGCTTAGCCCCGCGGAGCCACCAAACCCAGACCGACGGCAGGACTGACAGAGGCGCGGGCCGCAGCTCTCCCTTCCCCAAGCCCCCTTACCATGCTGCAGCCCCCGGCCCAGGCGTGCTGGGTCCGCACCGCGGTGCGCCCAGGTGGCTTTCTTAAAGGGAAAGTTGCATCAGCCTCCCGAGGCTCAGTGCCGCCGCGAGTCCGCCCGCCCCGCCGCGCCGCTCGCGGCTCCTCCACAGCTTGTTGTGTTTTGGTTTCGGGAAGGCGGGGGCCAAGAGTTTGGTGAAAGTTTGGAGAGTGGAGAAGGCTTGGGAGACCTAGCCAAGTCCCTCCCCTCCCTGAACAGCTCCCCTGGCCGCTCTTCCCCCCCCCCTCCCGCATTTCATCTCCACCCCACTGGCCGACTTCTCAGGCTCCTCCTCCCAGGGAATAAAATTACAAGCCTCTCCAGTTTTCAGATGATTGATCCCCAGGAACCCCTGGGAGTGGGCTCCACAAAGGAGCCCCCTTCTTCGCCCTTGCCTTGCTGCCCCCCCCCCCAGCTGGGGCCCTTGGAGGAAGCAGATGTCTTTGCCCACTTCCGACTAGGCTTGGAATAAAGCCAGAAGACCTGGGGCACTTTGGGGGGCTGGGGCTGGAGTTGGCCCTCCAGGTCCCTGGTCTTCTGCGCCTGCGTTGCCCCCAGGGAGAAGTCAGAGCGAATTCCATTCCCTTTGGAGCGGTGCCTCTGGGGACTGTGGGCACAGCTGGGTAAGGCCCGGGTCCTAATCCTCGGAACTGGAGGTCTAAGGGCAATCCTTCCTCCAGGGACACTCCTTGGACCACTGGTTTGGTCAGCCCTACTCTGCTGCTTGTGTTGCTTTGGCTGCAGACACCAATCTGGGCCCCTAATTCCCTCCCTGGGGAGACAGACCTGTGTTCCAATACTAGATAAGGGAGGCTTTGCCAAAAGGACTTCGCTGAGCCTCAGTTTCCTCCCTTGTGAAATGGAGAGGATGAGTTGAGGTAATGCATATCCTTGGATATAAAACACATTGCTGCAGACCACCTCCCTGGGCAGCAATGCTGGGCAGTTGGTGGAAAGTTTGCTTCCCTTGTGAAAGCCACCAGTTAGTACTGGCTGTCAGAGAAACAGGTATTGCCCCAGCCTGAGTGGGGCATCTGCGCAGCGGGGGCCCAGCCTAGAGAGATAATACCTGCCCCCCAGACCCTGAGTCTGTTCCTCACTGTTGTCTGGTCAGGAAACGTTTTATTTGTTCCCTGGGGACAGTCAGCCTCCGGGAAGCTGGTCACACACGCCAAAGTCACACAAGTGAGATTCCACTTTATTAATTTACGATCAGGGGCATCAAGCGAGATAATAGGTATCAGGCACAGACATTTCCTGCCCACAGGAGTGCTCTCAGGCCATACACAGTCCATTTCACAAACTTCCCCAAGGCTGTAGGCTCAGACCTTACAGCCTATTTACATTGGAGACCTGATTAGATCTGGAAAGACACTTTATCTCATCACCAGATTATTTGCATTTTTACTTTGTTCCGAAACACCATGTTTGGGAGTTCTGTTCTCCTGCGAACGAATCGCAGGTGTCTTGTGTGTGTGTGTGTGTGTGTGTGTGCACGCCTCTTCCTGGGGCAGTCTGCTGGGCCTGTGTCCGCTTACCCTATGGATTGTGTGGGTGGATCTGTGTTTGTGGAGGGGTGATTGTGCACTGCAGCAACTCTGTGTAGGGGTGTGTGTGTGTGTGCCCCCAACTCCGGGGACTGAGCATATCTAATCCAAGCCCTCCTTGATTCTCCTACCTAGGACATAATTTCCGTTTCTGGTCTCTCTCTCCTTCCCTCTCCCCTGAAGCTTGTCAGAAAGGGGCCACCATACAGAGAAGGCAGAATGCAGGCTCTTGGAAGAGGCCCCCAGGTAGGGAGCAGGGACAAGGAAGTGTGTGAGAGGGTGTTTCAGTGGCCTTCTCCCCTCCTGAAGCAGTAGCTGGAGGGTGAAGGGGCACAAGAAGAGGACCCTAAGCATTATCAGTGAAGTTTCCGATGATTATTATGGCCCAAGGAAACTGCGACTTCCTACCTCACACTAAGTTGTCCGTGTGAAGCGAGGCATGTTCCAGATACTCAGAGCCAGCTGCCCAGGAGGCCCTCGGGCTCTGGGGCTGGGGGCAGGGCAGGGTGAGGTACTCAGGGTTCAGCTCTCTGAGGCCTTATCGGAGGATCGTTTGGCATTAATTCCGGGGGCAAGGAGGCAGTTATCCCCTTAGTCCATGGGTTGGGAGGAAAAGATTTCCCCTGGGGTATTTGGTGGGAAGTTGGAGATTTGCCCATGAGGGTTTTGCTAGAAAGAGATGACATAACACAAAATATATTTGTATGCATATAGAGAGACTCATGCATGTGTGCACTTTAGGCACCTTGATCCAGAAAGGGCTTTAGGCGGCCATACAGTGAGTTGAATCCCGAGGAGAAACTTGAGAAAGATTTTGGCTCCATGAGACAGGGATGAGAGCGGCTGTTCTTTTTTTTTTTTCTCTTCCCCCAACTAGAATGAGGCCCCAAGGGAGGCAGGTCTGGGCCAAGCCCAGGTCAGAACTGGGATGGCCTTCGTCCCTGGCTGTGAGCTCCTGGCCCTGGGCAGCTGGCCCACAGAGTGGGAAGGGCATGGCTAGCCTGGACCACTGTCAGGAGAGTAGGGGGATCAGGCCTAGGACAGACAGGAGGACCTATGGGGTCCGACGACCTGCTGACCTGCTCCTCTCTGGGGCAGGGCAGCAACAGGGCAGGCAGCCTGTGGTGGGGCCCCACCCACTGTGGGCTAAGGTGTGTCTCCCAAGCCTCCAGTTACAGTGCTATTTCCTGGGAGGGCTGCACCCAGCGTCGGATCCCCTAGTGCTGGCTGGCTTCCTCCTTTGTTGTCGTCAGCCTGTAGGATCAAGGCCTCTCTTGGGACACACAGAGTTGCCTTAGGTGTATGTCTGTGGCAATAGGGATAAGGCCAGACTTGGGCCACTTCTGGAGGGCACTGAAGGAGCTGGTGGCATGGGGCACTTGGTGGAGGGGTGCAGAGGGGCCCCGCTGAGACATTGGGGGAGGGTGAACATTGTTTTGAGTTGCAGCCTGGCCTGACCATTGGTCTCACCTCCTTGCAGTCCCAGCCTCAGGAACAGGGCAGGATTACTGGGAGTGGCCCGCCTGGGCCCGGCTCTCAAATTCTTTCTCCCTTGAACTTGGAGCCCAGTGGCCAGGGCCTGGCACCTTCCCTGCCCTGTCCCAATGCAAGGGAGCAGGTGAAATTGGTGCCCGATCCAGGAGATATCTGTGGGGTTCCATATGTCCCTCAGACCATTCTGTTGTGCTGTCTCTGGCCCTGGTCCAAGCGAGCAGCACGAGCCAATCATGGGGCTCAGAGCAGGGTGCAGGCTGGATCTTAGCAGCTCCGGGTGAAATTAGGCCTATAGACTGGAAACGTAGGCTTTGGCCCTGTCTGGGGGGTAGCCCCAATGTCCAGAGCATGCAAAACCCAGATTCTGAAACACTGTGGAACTCCCCAAATCCAGAATTCCCAACGCCAAGGGTGCTAGAACTCCTAACACTGTAGAGAAGCCAAAACCCAGAGTTCTCAATACCCAGAGCCTCAGGGGTCCAATACCCAGGGGGGTATTGGACCAAGGTACCCAACATCTAGACCACCCAACATTCCTAATACCCAGCTCTGAGTGCCAATGTCCCAACCCACTGGAGAACAACCTGGAGGGGATGGAGCAGTGCCCTGCATGGCCCAGGGCCCTTCAGGGACTCATATAATCTGGGGAGTGGCCATCACTGAAATTGGGGCTGTGGGTGGTGCTGGAAACAGCAGTAATGCTTCCTTGATGCCCCCATCTTGGGTCTGGGGAGGTTAAGAGGGGCTGCAGGAAGGAGGGCTTTCCCCCGGGCCCCTCCCCACCCCAGTCACAGGTCCCATATAATCAGACATTCATTTGCTCACCACGCAGGAGTGTCCATCTGCGAGGTGCTGGGAATTTGCTAATCTCTAGGAATACAGCCATGAGAGGAGAGGGGTCCCCGCTCTCCCATGTGGGAGGTATGACAGTATGTGTGTGCCAAAGCGTCGGTGTGGCTCACCACGTTGCCATCTGTGGCCCACCTGGGGCTGAGGCCATGGCCGTGAGATGGCCCGGCTGTTGGCGTGTGATGGTGTTGGTGAGAGGCTGTGAACATAAACTTGCTGACACAAGCAAGCTGACACACGTGACCGTCAGAGCAGGCCCAGCTATGTCCATCCATTGGGCCATCCTTAGAGTCCCTCCCTGCCTCGCCGCTTTCCAAGGGAAGTGATGCAAGGCCCTATTCGGCAGGATCAGGCCTCCCTGTGGGGCACAGGGGCCGGGCTCAGAACGAGAGGCTGATACCCAGCGCCACCCTGCAGTGGGCCCAGAGATTCCTCCCACTGCTCCTGCCCCTGCCAGACCCAGAGCCTCTTTGGACTGAGAAGACCGGAAGAAGGGTGGCTATAAGTGAAGCAGCCAATACCAAAAATAGCCAGCCACCCTGGGGAGGGAGGATGCTGGGACACCACCCTCTCTGCCCAGCCCCGCCCAGCCCACCCTGCTGCCCTGGAGCCTGATGAGGACTCCTGTCTGAATCCCCTTCCCCAGCTCCCAACTCAGTGGCCCCTTTAGACTCGAAGGAGGGACAGAGCAATGACGTCACCACAAATGATGACATCACAGGGAGCTGTGACATTGCAGGGAGGGACACCAGGCTCTGGGGGTGGGTGGTGTAGGGCTGGGTGGGTGGTGTAGGGCTGGGTGGGTGGGGCCCCATCTGCTGGCAGCTCCCCAAACTCCCAGCGGCTGGAGATGGCAGGACTGGATAAAGCTGTGTTCGGGGCCCTGCCTTATCTGTACCCCCCACATGCCTGATAAGCCTCTTACCAGGGCAGGCCCAGGGAGCAGGCAGGGAGCAGGCTGGAAGAGGGGAGAGGGTCAGCTGGGTCTGGCTGAGCTCCAAGGCAGACAGCAGGGGTCAGGGCATCCTGGCCGAGCCCCAGGAAGCAGAGGGGAGGGGTCCCTGGGGGAGCAGTGCAGAGCGGTGGTGAAGAACAGGGACTCGGAAGCCAGGATGCCTGCATTCGTATCCCAGCTCTTCCACTTAATACGTGGGTAAACTGGGCCCTCAGTTTCTGCAATATTCCTCAACAAGAATACTATTAGTAGTGAGGACCAATCATAGTATTGTGAGGATCAGTTACGTGTGAAGTAGGCATAAAAGAGGGCCTGGTATATAGTAAGTACTTGTACTGCTTCCTAGGTGAGAT